GTATATTCGGCAGTATACCGAATACCGAATATTCGGCGAGGCCCCTGACCGAATAGCCGAATATTAGGCAAAAGTATTCGGCCGGATTTTAGCGCCAAAAACTTGTACAGACGTGAATTAAATTATGTACCTGTTTTATGTACCAATGACTACTTAATAAATGATAATAAAAGAAATGAGAACCTTACCCTTCTAAATTTTGATTACCACAATAATTCAAATACATAGAATCCTCCATTTTTCCAATTCAGAAGATGATTATGTACCTGTGTTATTCACCAATGACTACTTAAATGATTATAACAGAAATGAAAATATGAATATATACGTAATCAATCGATTTTAATTTTTCATTTTAACAATTATTTCTCAATGACAAAATATATTATTTAAGTATTCGGTATTCGGCCGAATAATATGTAGATATTCGGTATTCGGCCGAATATAATAAAAGCAGCCGAATATGCCGAATACCGAATAGTAACCGAATATTCGTTGCAAGTCTACAATAAACATAAACCTAGACCTATTTAGCTCAAATTAAAAAAAAAAGATATTGCGTTCGGTTTACAACACTGCTTGTATAGAATATTGTTATCTATGATTTTTAAAAGGAACATGCATTGCAGAAATTCGGACTACGTAATAAATTGGCGCCACACGCGGCTAATGTACGACACAAGGATAATTAGGGAAACCCGCAAAGTGCTAGTGGTGTGCCCAATGCGATATTTGCCTAGAAGGGTTGTTTATTTAAAAAAAACCATTAATGTTTAGTTATTGCAATGCGGATTTCAGTATTGTGATGTGATTTATTAATGAAAGTTGAGAGTATTCCACTGTTTTATTCGATTGAGTTTGAACAGACTTTATATTGTACTTATTACCTATTACTTGTACTTATTAGTTTATGATATTAATAAAGTAACATGATGTCAATGTAAACTTGCAACATAACCGATATTCCTCCCGCTTTACAGATCTTAAACTTTTTCCTGGGGAGCTAAATCTGAAATTTAAAAAAAAACGTCTTGGTCTTTCTGTGATGATCCAGATTTTACTTTATTTAATGAGGTATTCAGCACAAAAGGACTTGCACTTGTAAAAAAACGCGCTGCGTTTTGTACTGTAGACTAATAGTAACCCTATTTGTTCAAAAACCCTATTTTGCAGAATAAATGATCTCATTTCTATTCACATTGTCGTCAAACCTCTGTCTGAATATTGTCAGTGAAACACAAAAGACCTCAAGTGGTTACGTTTCAAGCCTTATTTTCTTCAAAATTAAACCATCACATTCTCAATTTTAAGAAAATTCGAAGTCCGGTCTTAATGTACATCACTAACAAAGCCTATACTTGTAATTATTTGGATGTAATGACGATATGACATTCCGGTTAATCCAGCCCTCGCCTGCAGACAGATCGATGCTAGACAGTAGGTATAGCCGCAAAGTAATGAATTTTTAGTTAGCAAAAACGAAGACAATTTGAAGTGTAGTTTTATGTGTTTTATGACGCATGACGGAACAAGTATTTAATTTTTATTTTAACGCTTTCAGCAAACAGTTATGGGCTGATGGTGATGAGTTCTTTTAAATCAATCAATCATTCAATGAATGAAGGGCTGTTGGTCTGTGTGGAAACCCCCTCGGGCAGTCACCCCACCGGGGTTTGCGGGCGTGGTGGTGTGTCTGAATCGGACTGACTAAAACAACACGGTGTGCCACTCTGCGTCTGTAATAGGAGGGATCAAGGGCGGTTGGTCTGGTGCAGGGATTCCCAAAGTGGTCGATATCGACCCCTTGGAGTCGAAATTGGTTTCCCAGGGGTCGACATAAACGAAAACTGATTTTGCAGGTAGACGAGGTCTAAAACTTGACCCCTATTAATTAACACAAGTTCTTATTTGAAACTTTCATACTGTATTAGTTGTGTTACGTATACCCACTTGTTATAAGAATGACTAATATTTTAGTAGGAAGTACTTTTCAAAAACTCAATTGTAATTTTGCTAGGCATTTTGAAAAAGGGGTCTCTTTCCCAAGTTCTTGCCTAATAGTTTAGGAATCCCTGGTCTAATGTTTCTATCCTTGCTGCTAAGCCTGAAGTCGTGGTTCCGATTCTCACCTAGGACAAATAATTGTGTGATGAGCACGTTCATTATTTAGTTCAGTATCTGGATGTAGTTTATCTAATACGTGAAGATGTTTATCAGCAGTCTGGTTACTAAAGTGCAGGTTAGGATAATAATAATAATATTTTCACACATTTCACACACGGCCGTCTGATCCCAAACTAGGCAGAGCCTGTACTATGGTAACCAGACTGCTGATAGACATACACATATATTTCTAAATACATACATATTATAGATAAATTACACCCAGACACAGAACAAATGACCGCGCTCATCACACAGTTATTTGTCCTGGGTGGGAATCGAACCCACGACCTCTGGCGCAGCAGTCAGGGTCACTGACCACTAGACCAACAGGCCAGTCAGGATAGTTTGGAATACGGTCTTGTGCAAAATATGTAGGTTAAGGTTTTGGTAATAAATAGTAAGACGTTTTTAAAATTACTCCAAGCCTTAATTAGATAAAGATCGGTCTGACTACTTCCAACTCAGAATAACCGTAATTGGACCCGTCTCTAGTAATGTAGGCTTCGGATATCCAAGTCACAATTCATAATGATTAATGACATATTAGATTCTACATTTTAATGTGTTTGGTTTAAAAACATCGATTATGCGTTCCGGGCACATTCCACTTAATAAATTTGCGTACATAATGAAAGAAGTGACATTCCCCTTTGTTCTGAGTGTGGGATATTAGAAGATGCGATACATATTATGGTGGAATGTGTTCGGAACGAGGACATTAGAAATGATATGTTGTTTATAACAGAGAATTTGAAAGACCTTTGAGCCTGTAACCAAATGTTAGCTTTCCCCTTTCAGAAGCAACAAACGCAATTTCCAAAATTGTTGATATCGGTATGAGGCAGCGTACGACTATCTTATGTAAATGATTGTTCTATTAATTGTTAATATTGTATGTACTGTATCCTAATTGATGACCTTATGGAATGATGTAGTCTGAAAGGACTAAAACTCCTTAAATAAAAAAATAAAAAACATCGATCCTATTTCTATTTAGAATTACATTAAATACTCTTTACTTCCATAGACTAGGTCACGTGACCCGAACTTTGGATATTTATTATTCAAGAACAGGTCAACGTTTTCAAGATGTATGTATAGGGAAATAAGGGCATGTACGCTCACGCAATATCTACCATAGGTTTGTATTGATCGATTTTGTAACACGGTTTTGAGACATTAATGTACGTTGACACCTCCTGATTGGATGGAGGGTAGATAAGAATGAATAGGGACTCACTGTCCGAGGCCATTAGTGTCTATGTTTCTTGGAGATCATCATTTACTAATTTGAATCTCAGGAAGAGTAAATTGTGCAAATTTGTTTAGGAGTTTTCAGTCAGTTCGCGACATACCCACCACGGTGGTATGTGAGGGGATAGCCGCACGCAAAAAAGAGAAAAGGGTTATATTTTGAATCGGTTTTTTCTAAAAAACTTACTGGAAAGTGAACTCATATAACCCAAGAGTCTTTTAATGTACCAAACACTACCAGGCTTTCAATTTACTAAAGAATAAAACGTGGGACGATTGAATGCTGTGTCAATAGTAACAGATTGAAGACAATTGGTGCATACGGGTGTAAACTGTTGGGTTTCTTTAATCGATATTATATTGGAGCAGAACCAGGGCCATCGAAATTATTATTTTTTCATGTTAGAGGGGGCAGACGAGCAGACGGGTCACCTGATGGAAAGTAACCATCGCCGCCCATAAACGTCTGCAACTCCGGAGGCACAAACGCGTTGCCGGCCTTTTAGGAAGGAGTACGCTCTTTTCTTGAAGGAAAAAAAATTGTATTCATTTTGATAATAGTTTAATACGTAATAAAAAAAATACTTTTTTTTATACTATGTAAGTGTAGATAAGTAGCAAAAGTATTTTAATACATTTATTTACGGTATCATTATCACAAAAAAATAAAAGCTTTTTTTTCAAAATGGCGTAGGTAGTGTGCGCATGCCAGTTCTAAAAAAACAGTAAAAATAGAAGTTAAAGTTTATGCTAGCCACTTTATTAAATGTACAACCATTAAATGAATAAATATTTTACTTACAATTACATAAAAAATATGGCTATCACAAAGTTCATTAACTGACAAAGCCGAATTTAGATAATATTATATTATCATTAATCTATTTATAGGAAATTACAAAAAAAGCGTCGTTCCTGTCAATAACACCCGAGTTTATCAAAAAAACCGTTATTTTATCACAACAAAGCATTAGTCGTGACCTTATTGTGATCCATCTGAGAAGAATCACGTCGTAACATGTTGAGACACATTGTTCTGCGTTATTCATACTTGACAAAGAATTTGGAGGGTGCGCTCATTTGTTCAAATAGGGAACACCCGTTTCACGATTTGAATATCTTTTTAAGTTTATGGTTCGCATTTGTGAAGTATGTTTTAGGGTTTATCGAATAAAAGAATTAGCAATAAAAAGGCACGATTTAATAGGAATGTGATAAGTGTTTAAAAGTGGTTTAATCGATAAATGAAATCGTACTAAACGAAATGCACTTAACTATGAATCGAAAACGAAATCTTTGTTTGGAAAGATTTGTCCGTCAGTAAAAGTAATCAGAAGATTAGAGTGTTAAGAAAATTCATATGCTTAAGTACATCTTATTCTATGTGTAATAGTTACGTGTACTCGTTTTGAATTGGATTTGAACTAAAAAAAAACAGTTAAAAAATTATTTGTCTTAAGTTATTATAATACATTACCTAATGAATAATTACCTAAATATTGTTACTATGTATTATGCATGATAATCTAAAAGTGCTTTTACGAAACTATGTTAAATTTAACTTTTTGTTTTGTCCACAGTTCTGGGAGATCATATCCGAGGAACACGGCATTGACCCTACAGGAGTGTACCGCGGAACCAGCCCCCTTCAATTAGAACGCATCTCCGTATATTACAATGAGGCCTCTGGTTAGTATCTTGTACCTTACTGACAGCAATGATTTCCTGATAAAAACATTTATTTCGGTATTGAAATTAAGACTAGCGTTAGTGAACAGGTTCATATGCCTATTTGAGAGCGATTTGACAATTTAAGCAATGATGTTAAATCCAGTTCGCTAGCTTTTTAGTATATAGTAGTAATTTTTTTAGCTTTTTGCATCATCCACAGCCTTTACTAGTCCACAGCTGGACATAGGCCTCTCCTCAGAAAGGAGGTTTTGGCCTACTATACCACGCTGGCCAGACGGGTTGGTATAGGGTTTGTTTCAAGTTTTCCTTCTCTTTGCAGTGCTGTTGTCCTGCGTAGTTTGCTCCCTTAGTCGCCTCTTACGACACCCACGGGATGAATAGGGATGGTGACACTCTGTATTCTTAATCCGTCACCACGCGGACCTACCGCATTATATTCCTACATCAACTGAAGATTGACTGGGAGGGAATGCCTAATGGCATTAAGTCCGCCTTTGTACAACATGTGTATTAAGTTTTAAATAAATAAATAATTATAACCAAAATCAACATAAGAAAACTCAAGAATAACATTCAATATCGCTTCATCATATCAGCTAACACATTATCTGTTTGCATTTGTTCTGTTGTCAAATGAAATAAACGACTATTATTAATTATGGGTCATCCACACTTTGGGAATCATGACATCAAAGTGGGAGTATATTGAAGGCTTAAGTGAGAAAGTAGGGATGGTAAGGGATGGTCCCTATACGAATAGATTCGAAGATATTAACAATAGCTCGAACAGGAATTCCTAGTTGTGTTAATTTGACGACCGAAGGGCGTAGTGGTTTGTGTAACGGACTGCTATTCCAAAGGCCGCGGGTTCGATTCCCCCTCAAGTTAAACATTTGTGTGTATGAACATTTAATGTTTGATTTGGCCTACGTGTTTCTATTAGACTTGCAACGAATATTCGGTTACTATTCGGTATTCGGCATATTCGGCTGCTTTTATTATATTCGGCCGAATACCGAATATCTACATACTATTCGGCCGAATACCGAATACTTAAATAATATATTTTGTCATTGAGAAATAATTGGTAAAATGAAAAATTAAAATCGATTGATTACGTATATATTCATATTTTCATTTCTGTTATAATCATTTAAGTAGTCATTGGTGCATAACACAGGTACATAATCATCTTCTGAATTGGAAAAATGGAGGATTCTATGTATTTGAATTATTGTGGTAATCAAAATTTAGAAGGGTAAGGTTCTCATTTCTTTTATAATAATTTATTAAGTAGTCATTGGTACATAAAACAGGTACATAATTTAATTCACGTCTGTACAAGTTTTTGGCGCTAAAATCCAGCCGAATACTTTTGCCTAATATTCGGCTATTCGATCAGGGGCCTCGCCGAATATTCGGTATTCGGTATACTGCCGAATATACTATTCGTTGCAAGTCTAGTGTCTATGTATAATAAGTACGTACTTACAAAAAAAAGTATATATGTATTTATATCAGTTGTCTAGTAGCTATAGTAGAAGCTTTGCTTAATTTGGGACTAGATGGCGTTGTGTGATAGTGTTAGAATATTATTATTAGGTAGTATTGCTTATTTGCATCAACAAATTATAACGTTTAGAATCGATCGACAAACGTAATAATAATTAGAAAGTGTTTATAATAGACTAGATTATTAAATGACAAACCATCTTGTCAAAAAGGCAATAATACCAGTACTCAATATATAATATCATTGGTACCCACTGGATATTTCATTAAAAGTAATATCAAGCAACCGCAACACCATTCCATCACCACTTCAATGATCACATCGAATAATCTCACCAAGTAAATTATGATTTCTGAGAATAACCGTTAACTGTTCACAGTTGCATTAATCTAAGTAGAATAAACTCGACTAGCCATCTATTATCTTAATAACTAAATCGTAATCTACATCACTAGTCGCTCTCTAAAGATTGAGAATGTCCGATTATTTCATTCACTCAATTAAAATATAATGGAATAGAAAGTCAAGTGAAAATTGCAAAATGGCGGATCATTTTTAATAAGCGTGTTAATTTTATTATTAAATGGTTTTATCTCTTAAGAGAAATTATTTTATGATTAAAAAAGTAGGATTGTATGTTTCTTGATGAATATAATAATGACACACCTGCAATTATAAATTACTTCATTATGTTGAAGAAAGTCTGCCATTTTGTTGATTGCCAGCGTGGGAGAGCCTTGCTTCGATACTAGGGATTAGGGATGGAATAAAATCACAATCACTTGTGATTAATCATATGATTTTAAATCATAGCATCACGCTAGTGACTGATTTTCAAAACCACTGCGACTTAATTATTGTTATTAAGCTAGACTCGTGAAAGGCATTACTCTAAAAAAAGGTTGTAATCTTTGATAAAGACTTGATTGGTTTTAATGGCATTTATCTTTGTCTATGACGAAATCACAATCACATGTGAAATCGCTGTGACTAAAACCAATCATTTCATCTAATGACTATGATTTAATAGTAGCAATAACATCCATGTCTATTCGGCACATAGGTGATGACTGATGATACCGCCACGGCCTCACAGAAATCCGATATGTTAAGTCAAATCTTTTTTTTTCGATTTTCAAGCTTTTCACCTTGTGAGTGACGTTATCAGAATTCCCCTTTCCCCTTCCTCTTGCCTTTGCGTGCGGCAATGTCTGCTCGTTTGCCCCTGTACTATGAAAAAAAATTGTCTTGTTTGTCGAAAATTTATGAAATTATCCGTGCCTCAGAGAACACGTTAAGCCGTCGGTCCCGGTTGCCATACGAACATCTGTGGCATTCGTTACGGGTAGTTAAAACCCTAAAAAGTCTAACAGTCTTTCTACGGAACTTCGATATCATCAAGTACTTGGGCTGTGAAGGTCGGATGGCAATCGCTTCACGAAGTTCAGCCGTATCGTATTAGACTTAAAGCCGTTCTAAATTAATCCAAAGCATTCTTGTCTTCTCTGTAATCCACAATCGAGTATTAGGCCTTCTGACACAGCAAACTGTAAGTAATCCTAATAGTGTAGTAGTAACATTCTTGTTCTGCTCATGGAATGTCATTCGCCATGGAACACTCGCCATACCCTCCAAATTCAAGTTTAACAAATGAACGGATTTAGAAATACGTTGCTTAGAAAGTTATTTAATCCCCTTCGATTTACTCGAAACGTAGTAGACAAGCGATAAATATTAAATTAAGTTGTGATTAATATTTTATTTTATAATTTAAAAAACTTAATGTTAATATATATAATGTTTTAATGGTCGAAAATATGACCACATTCTCATCTTATTGGCATGCAACCGTCTGCTGTCATCACAGTTATAATTCGAGCAATTACAAATGATTTAGTACAATTAAACCTACCGTATGATTGACTCAAATAAGAGTACAACGACCTATGTTTAAGCAATCTTAATCCGTGTTGAAATTTGAATGTTGGATTAAAAACTAGTTCTTATTATTAAAAAAAAAGAAATTAAGCGTTGATTTCGATATCATAGATTAAAAATAAATTGATTTAAAAGCTTTTAAATGTAAATTAGATGAAAATGTTTTTGAATTATGGTCATGAAAGTAAGTTTTTGATGAGCTGAAATGTACGTTGACTTACATACACTACTTTATGAAAATCTACTATATCATCTTCTATAAAGAAAATTAATGTTTGTCTATTGGTCTAGATATTGGCGGGATATCAACCAATATAACAGATCGTGCGTAGTTTTTATAACTTACTGTTAGGTAGGTCTCCGTATTTTATCATAGGTACTTATCACACACATCACATCAACAGCCTTTATTAGTCCGCTGCTGGACATAGGCCTCTTCTTAGAAAGGAGGTTTTGGCCTACTATACCACGCTGGCCAGAAGGGTTGGTACCCACGGGATGAATAGGGGTGGTGACACTGCTGCGTATTCTTAATCCGTCACCACCACACCCATAGGTACTTATAATATCGTGTATACCTATAATTAGTGTAACAAAATATATTTTGCTCTGTAAAAAACTACTAATGCATGATTTCTCGGCCAGTGAAAATAAATACCGCGAAAAAAACTTCATACTTTATGTCGTCTAGAAAGAACTCGAAAATTTGTGAAGCCCGCCAATAATTTTCATTCATTTCATGTTTACCATGTATTTATAAAACAAAGCTGTCATCAATATCGAATTAAAAGTTATTCGACCGAAAGGTGTACATGAACACGAGGTTTTACAAAACTTGATTATACCCTTCGTTAAATTTTGTATTCCATTAAGTGAAATTAGTGTTCAATGTCTGTGACGGCTAATATATACTTAGGAATACCACTAACTCCTAATTTCTTGCAAATTGTAGAGTGTAATACACAATTTTCCCAGTCAACCGTTCCTGCACTTTCACCTGCATATATGGTCACTACTCTTTTCTCTTTTTTAAATGACAACTCCCGCATTAGGAATATATCCTGTGCCGCGGGAGACTACAAACATATGTACATGAAACGGACACAACGAATACCCGGACTCAGAACAACAATTTGTGAATCACACGCAATGTTGTCCCATATGGAACGCACCACACTCAGCGCAGTCGAAAGCGGCAAGGTGACCGCTTTTACCACTACGCTAAGGATAGTAGCGTTATCTTATACAGGGTGTGGCGTAAATAGTGGTCCACCATTAAGGATTCGATAAACCAGATAATTTACTATATAACATATTACAATTTCATCCATTTTTACCCAAAGGTTCCGGAAATATATATTTTTTTTAATTTTTTTACGATATGTGTACCTCTTGTTTCAAATTTGGTTGTAGTTTTAACAAATACCATTATTTTTTCATTTTGATTACTGGTAATAACTGCTGAATACTAGAGCTATCGTTAAATAACATGTTTTTAATGTATATTTAAAGCTTTTGAAGAAAAAAATTGGTTTTACTCTACTTTTAACCCAAATTTTAACATATCATGCTAATTCAAGACCGATTTTTGTAAAAAAAATGTACTAAGCTATCAGTGCCCATTCATTTAAAAATATGCCTACTAAATACCAATTTCAAAATGGTATCACAATAGCAGATCCTTTTGTTTAACAAAAAGATATCCAATTTTAATTGAAGAAAAGAATATTTTCATTAAAATACATTTCAAAATTTAATTGGGTGAATATTATTACAAAACGTATTAAATTCTATAAAACGGATAAAATGTAACTTTTTACTTTTGAAATATGATTTTAGTCTGACAAAACTGGTTTTAAGAGCACAAACATGTCTCAAGCCCGACCCTTTTTTTACCTGAGACATGTTTGTAAACAAAAGATCTGTTGAAGCTCTCGCCAATTGAGTAACGCACGATACGAGTGATAAAGAAAAGATATGGTTAATGATGGCTATCCCTTTCATTCCGAACGTTGTAATCTCCAGAAATCTCGAAATAATTTAGTACGATCTCGTCACTCGTGCGTCGTATGCGTTTTATTTTCATTATGTGTGTTTATCTCCGTCGTTTCTTTATCCCTGCCCCGGACTCTGCTTAAATTGCCTACTGATTGGATTAGTTGGACTTTGGCTTGCTCAAAGATTTGGACAAACGTGCAGTGCAGTGACAAAAATGTCTCTGTACACACCGCGCGAATATGCTGGCATGCATTTTATTTACGGTGAATGCAGAGGTGTCGGTAGAGAAGCAGCTCGACTTTATCGGGAGAGATATCCCGATCGAAGACATCCAGATCATCGAGTTTTTGGGAGAGTGCATAACGCAGGGGAGGATACCTGGCACAGGAGTAGGCGGTGCAAGTGAAGGACGACCGCAAGTACATACTGGTGAAGACGTAATGAATTTAGTTACTGAAGATCCTTCAGCATCGGTCCGTGTCTTAAGTCGCAGAACTGGCATATCCAGTATATCTGTACATCGCATACTCAAAAGACATGAGCTATCCAATACAAAAATGATTTTCAAATTCTACTAGTGAAGTGATAATTCTCGCAAGGTAGCGCGACTAAATGAAAAAAAAAACAGAAAACAAAATTCTTGAAGCTATAACAGATTCTATATTCAAATTTTTAAACACCTGTACCTCGCACTCATGACAGACAAGGCTCTCTAATGAGCTATCTTAGTAAAAAAATATCACAATAATCTATGTATTTTGATACGCGTGTATTTGAGTCTGTGGTTCACCGCACGCTTCACCGCGACCTAACTGTCTCTGTACTGTTAGTAATTATTCATGCAATACATAAATACATAACAAGTCTGTGTAAGCGACGTACTTACATGGAATATTTCAAAACATGGGCTTTTTCCTCTTTAGTCTTTACCGAGGATAACATAGGTACTTTGCCTTGTTTATTGACGTGACAACGTCTTATAAATTGGTTTGCCGGGTGACACTTCAAGAAACTGCGTTACGCTCCGCTCACGTTATGCGCTCACAATGAGAGCGAGTGAGAGGCACGCGTCCCTTGCAATCGGGCATGGTTAGCCCGCCTAAGAGCGAGAGAGACAGACATAGTCGTTGTCACGTAAAACTTTCGCCCGTATACCGACTTTACAGGCAACCAATTTTTTTTTTAACACAATAAGGTGTGTATAATAGCATGTAAACATATTATAAATAATGCGTTACATTTTTCGCTCTTTTACAATAATTACATAGTGTGTAACGTATGTTTGTAATTAAAATCTTCTTAATAAACTGAGTACAATAAAATTAAAAGGTGTCTATTCACATCATCATCATCAACAGCCCTTAATAGTCCACTGCTGGACATAGGCCTCTCCTTAGAAAGGAGGTTTTAACCTACATACACAATAATTATGTGCCCAGTTGACGTCAAATAGGCTAAACCCATAATAAAAGGTGTGTCAGCAGTTCGACTAAAATTAAAGTCAGATAAATACGCCTCTGTCTAGCTGTCTATGGCTTCAGGGGGCTTCAGAAGCACACACAAGTATTTAAATCAAATGATGAATGAATTCGTGAATTGATCTTCATGAATTGTAGCTAAGAATCATTTCGATTTTTATTTCATTACGATTTTTACATCACCTATAAAAAAAATTAGTCCTTTCGTTTTAGAGCTACGAGGACAGACGCACAAGTCAAACTTATAATACCTCTTTTTTGTGTCGGTGGTTAAAAAGAGTTTCACCCATTTCACTTTCAAATTAATATTAACTGTAAAAAAATATATTTGTGTTACACCTATTAATACTTTTTAGTCACTCATAGTTTGCGCATTAATTATTAATTGTATATTATACATTAATATTTAAGCTTATAAAGAGACGCTTAACTTCAGGCCTTCACATAATTGATATCCACAACACATAATATGATATAATTATACTTTAATTGATTATTTAGCATACTTATAAGCTTGAAATGCGTAAATTACTTGTAATAATGGTGCTGGGTACCGAACCCTGTCGAAAATTTTTTTTACTAAAATTTATACTTAATACAAAATAGTTGGGATCAATACATTAAAGTATACATGTCTCATGTTTTTAAAATGCTAGCTGTGCTCCCAGGGAGAAAAAAAATGTATTTGATAGTAACTGTTCCTTTGTCTACGCCTTAATATCATTTTTAATTAAAATAGGTTACTAACAAAAGCCACATAAGGTACAATTTACCCGCGAACCACAGCGGCTAATAAAACCAATAGAAATAAAACCGTAATACATTATGACTATCCATCGGTGTACGCGTAGTGACGGATTAAGAATACAGAATGTCACCACCCCTATTCATCCCGTGGGTGTCGTAAGAGGCGACTAAAGCGAAATACTCAGGACAACAGCACTGCAGAGAGAAGGAAAGCTATACAAAAACCCTATACCAACCCGTCTGGCCAGCGTGGTATAGTAGGCCAAAACCTCCTTTCTGAGGAGAGGCTTATGTCCAGCAGTGGACTGTTAAAGGCTGTTGATGTGATCCATCGGTGGTCCAAATATCGACGATATAATTTTATTGGCTGTAACAAGCCTTTAACATGCAATATGTCTGCTATTCCAAAAGGAATTAATTTTTTTTAGAGACATAAGAAATACGTAGACAACGAGTCCAAACAATAATATTCTAAAAACTTAACAACTGTATATAAAGTTAGTACTTTTAGTAGTTTTGTCGAAAATAAAATTGCAAAGTTTTTCCCCTAGTTTCCACATAATAACACAATCAATTTTTCCAATCTCGACTGTTCCGATAAACTTCGAAAAGAGGAATCACATAAAAGTTGGTGTTTTCGCTCCCCTCAGCAATTATTAGTTTTAGTTCTAAGAGCTTAGTTTTAGTAACTTTTTCTGTGTAGAGTTGTCTTATAATATTAGCATGTGAACTTGGGGTGTAAATGAAACGCAATTAAAATTATAACTTTTAAGTACGTCTGCCATATTGTAAAACGTAATTTTAGCAATTGTAACTTTATAATTTGTTCCTTCAAAATTAAAGACATAAGCATCTTATAATGCTAAGTTGGAAGAACTGAGATGGATTTGGAAAAAACGATGATTATAATTATTGAAACTTAAAAAAATATTAGACTCGCGCTTACTGAATCTATAAAATTATAATGGAAATTAACATATTAGCCGCTAAAAGCTAACAATAGTAAAATAAAATGACATTGTGTTAAAGTTTGGCGCCTTGTGTGTGTGCAATGCATTTCCATAGATAACGCTAATTAAATTTTATGTCACATTGTCATGGTGTAAGTAGTCGATTTTGTTAATTGTTTAGCAAAGTTTTACGATAGTATGACACTTAGGTAAAAATAAATAAAACTTTAAAAGCCTGCGAGAAAAGACACAAAAAGTAATAATCACACAGATCGTGATTTTAATTATAACACCACCTATTCTAAAATCAAACATTTTCCTAAAGATTCGTTCAAAACTTTACAGGATTAAAACTAATATTATAGAAATAAATAAAACTACGAGAACACAGTAACAAAGAGTCCGTGAAATAAAACTTAAGTTCAAGTTGGCGCGATTACCGGTGTCGATGACCGCCAGCCCCGTCGACTGTGACCGAATGTAATTTTATTGTCTATGATACATTTAGCGGCACTAGATGTGCGGTTTAGACGCTATTTTATAGACAAGGAAATAGAAATAGAATTTTAATGGCTCCGTAAATTGAGAGAAGTGACCAAGGAGTCTGAGTTTTTTTGTTCTCAATTTATGGTCACTTACTTCCTTTTGGACTGCACTATATTCGTACAATATGATAATAATAGAGCTATATTTACAACTAAACTGAATACATTTTAATTATTTGAATATTTCATGAATAAATACAAAAAATGTTCTCGTTGATTTCCTACCTTTATTATACCTAAGGCTAAATGCTCCCCTTGCAATAGATAGGCATGTGACGAAACACCGTTGGTTTTAGTCGGTTCGACTCCGACACACTACTCACCCTTAATAAAACAATGAATTTGTTTTAATAAAAGAAGTTTTTAAACCACCGTTCTGCTAACGTCAGGTAATTACAAAGTACAACACATAATGTTGCTGCCCAATATAAGTCTGTAAGTTATTTGGTAACGAATAATCCTGTACTTATGGCCACTTTTCTTTGGTTACAGTTGCGACGGCGGAGAGCGGGGGTAAATACGTCCCCCGCGCAATCCTTCTCGATCTCGAACCAGGCACCATGGACGCCGTCCGGTCAGGCGTCTACGGCCAACTCTTCCGTCCGGACAACTTCGTCTTCGGACAATCCGGCGCCGGCAACAACTGGGCCAAGGGACACTACACCGAGGGCGCAGAACTCGTCGACGCCGTACTCGATGTAGTTCGGAAGGAGTGTGAAAACTGTGACTGCTTGCAGGGCTTCCAGCTCACACACTCGCTCGGCGGCGGCACCGGTTCCGGTATGGGCACACTCCTTATCTCCAAAATAAGAGAAGAATACCCCGACAGAATTATGAACACATACTCAGTTGTGCCTTCGCCTAAAGTATCAGACACAGTAGTGGAACCCTACAATGCAGTGCTCTCTATTCACCAGCTAGTCGAAAACACAGACGAAACGTACTGCATAGATAACGAAGCTCTCTACGACATTTGCTACAGAACTCTTAAAGTCCCCAACCCCACGTACGGCGACCTCAACCACCTAGTATCCCTCACCATGTCCGGTGTGACGACGTGTCTGCGATTCCCTGGTCAACTGAATGCGGATCTCCGCAAGTTGGCCGTCAACATGGTTCCGTTCCCACGTCTCCACTTCTTTATGCCCGGCTTCGCTCCCCTAACGTCCCGCGGCAGTCAACAGTACCGCGCTCTCACCGTACCCGAGCTGACCCAACAGATGTTCGACGCCAAGAACATGATGGCGGCTTGTGACCCACGTCACGGCCGCTACCTAACCGTGGCCGCCATCTTCCGTGGACGCATGTCCATGAAGGAGGTTGACGAGCAAATGCTGTCGATTCAAAATAAAAACAGTAGCTTCTTCGTAGAATGGATTCCGAACAATGTAAAGACTGCTGTATGTGACATCCCGCCTAAGGGTCTGAAAATGTCCTCAACATTCATCGGTAACACGACAGCCATCCAGGAGCTGTTCAAGAGAATATCTGAGCAGTTCACCGCTATGTTTAGGCGCAAGGCCTTCTTGCATTGGTATACCGGCGAGGGTATGGACGAGATGGAGTTCAACGAGGCTGAGAGTAACGTGAACGACTTGGTATCAGAGTACCAGCAGTACCAGGAGGCCACCGCCGAGGATGACACGGAGTTCGACCAGGAGGACATGGAGGAGCTGCAGGCAGATGAGCACCACGATTAGACGTCGCATCGTATACTAATGTTGCTAAGTCTTTCTAATATAAAAAAATGTATTGTGCTTACCGTGACATGTAAAGCTTACATTTTTACTGTTTATTGTGTGTTGCGCACAAGTTTGTAGAAATGTGTAAATATTTGCGTGTCACGATTGACCGTAAGTGCAATTATATAAGAATTGTAAACGTTATACTCGCTGGACCAGTTTTATACAATTTTATATATTTCAATGTGAATGTTTAGAGGCTAAGTCGCGTGCATTTATTACCAAAGCGTCCGTGTGACCGACGACACTTATAATTTCGAATCTTAATTGTTCTAGCACAGAGCCGTCAACACCCCAAATTGACGATTCCAGTGCAAATGAATTATTTTATTGAGTGGATAGTATTATCAAAAGTCTGTTTTAATTGAATACTAATTAGTTAAGTGGGAACTTTATAAGGAACGTACCAACTCGTGCATTTCTTAGCTTTAGTTATTGTCTTGTATGCTTTTTATTATAATTTATAATAAATGTTTTAAACAATTTGAGTGTTTAATTTTAGTTTTAAACTTCCTTTCTAAGGAGAGTCCTATGTCCAGCAGTGGACTATGAAAGGCTGTTGATGATGATGATGATGAATTTTAACAGTTAATTCTTTTAATTAACTTTATGGAACTAAACTCATATCAACATCTTATATCCGAGAGATCTGTTTTTACTTGTTTATTTGTCCTTGTAATATCGTAAAGATATCGACATGCATAAATGCTGAACAGAAGGCTGGGGAAACCGGCGTTGTTTGAATTGTTACCCGTCAGAAGGTAGGTATTAAGGTAAAATGTCGGACCGGAGATTTATCATTCGATTTATTCGTACGTAGGTTAGGGTTACTGCTTACTCACGTGTTGTTGCCAATAAGCTGTTTTTAGACGATGCATAAAGACACTATTTCGCCTATTTAACAGTAAATCTAGTAATTATTTTATTATATATAGCTAACATTCCCTACATAATAATTAAAAAATACTAGATTTACTGTTAAATAGCGTCTAACCTACCTACCTAGCAACCCTTTTTTTTTTTTTTTTTTTTTGTTCCGTGCGGAAATCCCCTCGTTTTGTCCCATGTCTAGCTTTAGATTCGATCATTTTTTATTTTTTTGAGGACCATACCTGCAAAGAGATGCATATGCTTATATTGAGCTTTTAACTCGGACATTTCTGTCAACATTTTGAAACCTACTTGGTTTTAAATTAAATTTTCAAAATAGGTAAGACGGTTCTATGTTGATCTGTCTAAAGAAGTATGATGAAAAATAGCAAGACAAAATAGCATTGTTATTTTTTTGCCTTAATAGGGCCTATTACCTATTCGTACCTAATAAATTACAATCACCTGTTAAAAATCATATAATGACACATATGAGTAATTTAATAAACCTCTGCGACGTATGATTACGTTGACGACCGGATTTGTGTAACGGACTGCTATTCCAAAGGTCACGGGTTCGATTCCCGCTCAAGTCAAACGTTTGTGTGCATGAACATTTAATGTTTGATTTGGTCTGGGTGTTTGTATGTATAATACGTATGTATTTACAAAAAAAAAGTATTTATGTATTTATATCAGTTGTCTAGTACCCATAGCACAAGCTCTGCTTTGTTTGGGACTAGATGGCGTTGTGTGAATGTGGTAGATTATTATTATTATTATTATATTATGATTACGCTAGGGTCAGACTAGCGAAGTCTAAATCTAAAAAGAAAGGGTCGTAGTCTTGGTTTTTTCTTTGATTAAGTTTTTGATGGGATTTATCTTTGTGTATGACCAAATCCCATTAGTAAATTATCACAGGTGTGATTTATTGCAGTCACTAAACTCCTATCATGTCATCATATGATTATGATTTATATGGAGCAATAATTTCCATCGCGGTACCTAACTATTGCAAGAAACACGAGGTGAAGCGAGCTTCCGGTTACAATCGTACAATCATATCCGACCAGATCAGGGATTTAAAAAGTGGTCGATATTGACCCCTGGAGGTCGAAATCGCTTTCCCAGGTCGACATAAACGAAAACTGATTTTTGGGGTCGACGAGGTCTAAAAATCGACCCCTATTAATTAACACAAGTTCTTATTTGAAACTTTTAAGTTGAGTCAGCAAACTACAAAGGACAACAGCACTGCAAAGAGAAGAAAAACTTGAAAAAACTCTATACCAACCCGTCTGGCCAGCGTCGTATAATAGGGCAACCTCCTTTCTAAGGAAAGGCCTATGTCCAGCAGTGAACTATTAAAAGCTGTTGAAAATAAGTTGAGTTACTTGAACCACCTTGTTATTAAAATACTAATATTTTAGTAGGGAGTATCATTGTGCTTTTAAAAAACTCAGCAGAGTTCGAGTGTACAAGTCTTTCAGGCACGTGGAACATTGCTGAAAAATACCTTATCGAGCCAAACATTATGACAAAACAAAGAAAGATTTAAGGCTGCGGATCACCAATATTGAACCAGATTTAGCTGGACTGGTAGAAAGTCACTAGGTTCATCAATCACATTGAATTTTTTATTGTTTTATCTTTAAAATGTGATATTTATGTTTAAAAAATAATTATTGATTCCACTTGATATTTACTGAATATTGGAACGAAGTTCCTTATCGCGCGTTGTGAAAGGGGGCTAGACGGAAAAAAATCTCACGAAAAGTTGTAACGACACTTTTTATTTTGAATTGTCACTTGTCAGTCATTCAGCGCCATCTATCGAATAGATAGGAAATCATTACTTTTCATCTCAGTAAAATTAAAATTTATGTTCTTAGGGTGAGCAAAAATATTGTATTTGACATCATTTCTCAAGGAGATTTTACCAATGTATAATTGTTTTAATTAAAAACCAACTGAAAAATATGTAGGTAATAGCCGCTTTCATAGATGGCGTTGTAATTAAAATCGTGTCGAATCAGAATCGTTACTCGATCGTCACAACTTCGTTCCTATCGGGTGTCCCACGACACCACACGGCTTTTTATTTCTTCTTATTTCGTAACATTTTGATGACAAAATGATGTCAAGTTTACTAACTTTGCCAACCGTAAAGTTGTTGAATTGGAAAGTATTTTGTATCAATAGGAAAAAAGCAGAGTTAAATTTTTTCAAGTAATTTGGCCATGGGGGCCCGAGGCATCAATTCATTATGAAAAAGGGGTCTCTTGCCCAAAATAGTTAGGGAATCCCTGGTCCAGACAATCTACCGTTCAAATTGTTCTTAAATAAATACATACACTCAGGTATTTATCTCCGAAGGGGTAGACAGAGGGACAGTAAACGGCCACATTTCGCAGACTATCATTTTAGTTTTATTAATGTAATAAAGGGCAAGTCTATATTCTTCAAGGTGCACATAGATATATTATACATACCATAGGAAAATACACCTAGAGAAAAAACAAATGATCGTGGTCATCACACAAATGTTATCCTAGGTGTGAATCAAACCCACAATTTCTGGATTAACAGTCAGGAACGTTTACCATAATATAACAATAGCACGGTACAATTATAATACAGTACTCCAACTTCATACAAACGGACGAAACGCGAGCTATACCTACGCGCCTCGATCTCGGGGTGCGCTCGGGGCGCAGACAGTCACGGCTGTACCGCAGTGTCGAACGGACGGTGTGTTGTTTTTTTAACAATAACCGTGCGATTTTCTTCTAAAAACCAGTTAATATGACGAGTAGGAAATATTGCGCTGTTTTTGGTTTTTTTTAATTACCTGGAAACTCTGAAAGGTAAGACTATAAAATAATTTTACTTACTAGTAGGTAGGTACATAATGTGTGTCTTTTTAATGGATAAGTATTTCCTTTTATCTCACGAAAAAAAGGTGTTTGGATTAACAAATAAAGCGAATAGAGTAACGGACAGTTATTGAGACGAGTGAAATAGGGAGTTATATGCGGTTCTGAATGAATCATGATGCGGTAGGTACCTACCTACTTACGCTTGTGTTAAAACTTCGGTGCATGTGTGTTTTGCTACTTTGCATAATTCAAAGTAAAGGCTTGGTATTTTATTATTAATAATATTTGTTTATTATCTGTGTGTATGAATAATACTAGAATTTTTTTTTACCGTCTGTGTGTCATTAGATAGTTTTTGAAATTTTCACAAAGTGTTTCTGCTGCTACTATAACAACATATACCACTAAAAACTGGTTTTATTTTCTCGGTATTAACAACAACAGCTAGACTCATATATAATATTTAGATGTTTGAGGGTTGTGATTTTAAAACATTCGAAGTCAGCTGTTCAGCTTTTTAATAATTAATTAATTGGTGACCAAAGAACTTTTGTTTTGAGTTGTTGCGAGTTATAGGTAGGTACCTAATTTTTAGAGACTTTAATAAGCTGAGATAAAAAGTTACTTACTCGTCAGCTGTTTCTTGCATTCTAGTTGAGTAGGTAGGTGTTGGAGTTTCTAAGGATTGAAGTTTTGTAACGCGTAAGGAGAAAGCACATTTTTTTTATTCTATAGAAGGATTTTTAAGCTATTGCATAGCTTTTATCGCGGGCTGACCGAATCAAGAAATTCTCAAAACCTAACGAAAAATACCTGACACCATGCAGATTTTTTTCTTTTAAAAAATAAAAAAAAAATGCCACATGTATTTTTTTTTCAGACGTCTTCAATGGTTGCAACTGATCCGGCGAGATGATTTGGAAAACAAACCTAACTTTAGTTCCTACCAAGTTTGTGAAAAACATTATAATTTAGAGGACATTCATCAAATAGAAAACTTTAAAAAAAGAATGCCCTACCATTGTTGGTGCTGCCAAGCTTAGCTAGTACTGATCCAGGAGTCTCTCTAAAAGAAGATAAACAAACCCAAACTGCTCCGTTGGTAGGAAATGAAAATAGTACACAGACTGAAAATGCAACAAATGAAATCTTTGCTCAAACCTCAACGAGTCTCTCTAGCAACACTCCAAGAAAAAGAAAATTGAA